CCCGCCTCCTGACGGGCGAGCCCACGGGCTCTGCCCCGCCCCGCCGCCGAGCGCTGGCCCCGTATGGAAGAGGAAAGGAAGGAGGAGGATGTGTCCATAGGGAAGGAAAGAGGAGGAAAAAAGACTGGCACATGGGCTCCACTTGTTAGCAACTGATCCCCCTTTTGGTGCCCTCAAACCAAACAAAAAATAGGTTGATTCCGTCCCTTCTCAACCAAATAGAAAATGGAGTCATCGCGTCCCAAAAATCAGAGACGGAACCCTCTCACTCCACCTTGTCTTCCAACCAAATGCTATCTTAGTCTTTATATTGAATAATTGGCGATGCGAGTTGAACTATGTTGGCGCTAGAATGGGCCTCGGGTCCCACTATCATTAATATCTTTAGCGTGAGCCTTCTACTCGATATTAAGAGAATTTTTCAATTAATATTTCCTGTCTCTTGTGCTTGAGAGTAGTGAAGAAATTAAACCCCTTCATGGAGGCAAACTTTCTAATAACGTAATATTTCCTGTCTCTTGTGCTTGAGAGTAGTGAAGAAATTAAACCCCCTTCATGGAGGCAAACTTTCTAATAACGTATCCAACCACAAACTTGTGAGGTATGACACTTAAGGAGTTTGAGTTTCTTTACAATGCATTGTTTCTCGTGAGCTTGCTCAACTATAGAATGGTTTGCTACCGTCTTATAGTCATGGAAGCTCTCCATGACGTACAGTTCATTGATTGCATCTAATTCACCGAATTTAGCATTCAGTTCATCCCACAACTATTTTCTGTCTTTTTATGTGCATGTTATATCTACCAAACTCCAAGAACACATCCCACAAAAATAGTATTGACTTCATCGAATTTTCTTTGATAGTCATCAGAGATATTTTCTTCACACATGCCATTACTAACCCATAATACTTTCACGACCTGCAGCCAGAGTGTGATCTTCACTTACCATCTCTTAAAAGTGCACATCGATAATTTTTCAGCCTTGGTGCATCAACAAAACCATCCATAGTTTATTCAAGAAAAGGCCTACGATAAGTTCATTTACCATCCGCGCACGAGCTTGACCGGCCCTGCGGCCTCGGTGGCGGCTTCCGCTCCTACGGCTTCGAGGACCGCTGTGGCGGTGGGTTCGGTGTCGACGACCACCGCGGGTTGCCCCAGCAGGTGCTCGGATCTCTACATGCCCTCCTGCGCCGACGAGGATCGCGATTGAGATATGCACAGTGGGAGAGCATGGGGGAGCTTAGCGAGACGGTGATTCCGGCCACCATATCCACATCTAAGAGCATCGGGAGGGAGAGGAGGATGGGAAGCTCCCTGGTGGCTCACCTTGGTTGGGTCATCATCGGAGATGGAGATCAGGCCGATAGCTGACGCACTGTGGAGAGAAATTAGGGAGAAAGAAGATAAAGGCGCCGACAGGTCCTATGCCCCCCCACGCGCGGACGCTCTGCACAGAAAGCATGCCGCGCGTGTCGTGCTTTGTCCACCACCTTGTTGGCCTCCCACACACGACCGCCTTTGTTGCCCGGAAGAAAGAAGAAAGAGAGGAGGGAGGAAGAAGGTGCCGACAGCTGGGCCCCACTAGAAGTGACCTGAAGAGTGATAGGGGTGAGGGTAAAACAGACTTTTCACGTGCGTCTCTGTTCGAGATAGGTCAGGATCCATGGTGGCGCGGTGACATGCCACGTCAGCAAAAAGACAAAGTTTCACTTCCTATTTTCCTGGTAAATTTGTAGTTGTCACGATAAAATTGGATGTCTATGATATCAATAACACTTAGTTAAATATCTGGTGGAGCCAGGATTTCACAGCTGGGTACTCCATGTATATAAAAAAATTATATGCAAATGTGCAATAGTAATAAGCAAAGTACAAGGTCTAAACATAGTGGCATAGTGCCATTGGCCCTGTTCGATTCTCTTATAATCCGCCTTTTCAGCTTGTTTTTTCAGCCAGAACAGTGTTTTCTCTCACAACAAATCAGCCGGATCACTGTTTCGTCTTGTTTTTTCAGCGAAGCGAACGAGACCATTGTCTCTAATAATTAAGAAATATTACAAAATATCAAAGGCTCAAAGCTACTAAAATATAACTCTACGATCTCCTTTTTGGAATTGATTAATGATATCATCATCTTTCACTTGACAGAAGAATTCCCTCTAAACAAATGTGACCATTCAATTAGTTAGATATTCATCACCCATTTTATTCATTTGCTTATTCTTCACATAATTCATCGTGGAAAACACTCTTTTAACACTAGCAGTGGCTACGAGAAGAATTAGCACTAATTTAAGAAGCATGTAGACAACATAATATTGCTCATGTCTTTTTGTGCTAACAAGCATAACTGAAAGCTCACATAGGTTCTTCAAAATTTTAAACCTTTCATCTCAACGCACATAGGGGAATGTATATAGTGAGCTAATATGGAAGTTTTGACAATTCATCAGTTGTGAAATCCTTAGGATAAAACTTCGTAGCAAGCCTAACAACTTCTCTTGATCATAAGCAGCAAATAAATCTAAGTGGACTGAAAGCTACCATGCAAGAAAGTAGTTATGTGTTTACCTCATCAAATCTATCGTTCATCTCTCGAAGTTGCCTATCAATGATACTCATCAAATCAAGTGGGGAACTCTGTTCGTGTCCGGTTGGGGAGCTTGAGCTTCATCATTTGCTTCACCATCGTGCTATGCTTCCACTCTCAACCTCAACAGAAGGAGGATTTGGTATGGATGTGGAAGCTGTTTTCTTTGCCTTTGCAGCTTTCTCCCATGATGCAAATATGCTAGCACCCTTCTTTATCTATGTTACAAAAATCCAATGCAAAAAAATAGAAAATGAAATCTTAAATTTTACTTTGAAGAATGGATCTGACACTGTTGTGCTACTGTGCTACTGTGCTCACCTTGCTTCAACTTCAACGGTTTCGGAGCCGAAGCCGAACCGAACCGTGGCCGTCGCGGGATGCCAGAGCGCTGGGCTCGCCACCTGCGCGCCTCTCCGGAGCCGGGACGCTAGGGCTGGGCGCAGCCGCGCAGGTCGCGCTCGTCGCTCGACCGGACCGCTCGCGCAGCGCCGCAGGGCAAGGGGAACTGGGGAAGGGGCGACGGCAGAGGGGGAGGCGCCGAGGTGCCGCCGTGCCCCTGCTCTCTACGCGCCTCCACGACTCCACGAGATTGGTGCGATGCGAGTTGGGAGCGGCATCCTACAGCTAGGAAACGATGCGAGCTTTTTTTTATTTGGTGGGCTGAAAGTTGCTGCTTTCTGTTGGGCTTTGGGCCAGATTTGCAACCTCTAACAACTATACAAGTTATATATATATATATATATATATATATATATATATATATATATATATATATTGGTATTCCGTGACGTACAGGGAAATACCCCTAGCGCCGCCCCTGCTTGCACAGCCCGACAACTGCCGCCTCTTCATCTCTCCTCTTCATCTTCCTCTCAGTGCCAGCGCTCCATCTTCCACTCCAATGACAGGTCCAGCGGGTAGTGCAGATAGGCCCAGTACTACCATGAACTGTAGCCCAATAGACTAATACTAATTATCATTTCTTAGCCTACATGATGAAAAGCCCAAAAAGGCCTGCCTCACACCATCCTGGCTCCCACCCGACATCCGCCGTCACCGAGCCCCGACTCGTCGCGTCGTCGTCGGGAGTCCTAGGAGCCTCTCCGCCAGGCGCCCAGACCGTCTCTGGCCTCCCGGGCACCCGGCTCCCTCTGGCCTCTGCTCGCCAAGTCGCTCCTCGTCGGACTCCGGTCGTGGCTGCTGCCTGCTGTCCGACAGCTCGCAGTCTTCGGCAGGGGCCTAGGGCGGGTGGGCGGGCGGCTGCCGACAGATCTGGGCGGCGCGTCGGTACTGGCCGCTGTGCGGTGCGGCGTGCGCCTGTGCGTCCGCCGACCGCCCGTCTGGAGCTGGACACCAGTCACCACTATCCTCCCTGGCTCCCTGCTTGTGACCGGTGAGCATCTCTGGAGTCTTGAGTCTTGAATGGTGACTCCCTATCTCCATGTCCCTGATTTGCCACTAGATGGATTGGTCGATTGGGAGCATATGCCTGATGAATGCGTCTCTTTTGCTTGTTTTGTTGTATGCGTTGGCAGACTAGTATTGCAATCTTCTAGTATTTTTTGTAAGACCTTATATTACAGCTAAACAATTTGTATAGTTATTTATGCAAATTTCAAACTTATTTGTTGAATTTAAGTTATTATGAGAATTTGTAGATATATTATATTTTTAACCGAACCATTTACCGAATTTTTGTATTAGATTATACCATATTGGATAATAAAGTTTTGGTTAGGCATACCCTGGATTTAAATCCTGAGTCCGCCACTGTTCCGCTCCCTCCCCCACTCGCGCTCGGCACGCAGGCGACGGCGGTGGCGCTCAGGCTCGGGTTCTCGGTGACGGCGGGGCAGTCCCAGGCTCGGCGCGGCGTCAGCGGCTCCCTCTCCCGGTTCGCGCCCTCGCCTCTGGACCGTCGACGGCGCGTGGCCCCGGTGGCTGCGCTGCGTGCCGTGCACGGCCGCGGGCAGTGGGAGCCAGCAGCCGCTGCTCCACCAAGGCGGTCGCGCTGCTTTGGGAGCGCTTATGCCCCAAAGCGAAGCGTTACCCGTCCGCTTAGCGCTTCAGCGCACTGAAGCATGCGCTTAGTGCCGCTTTTTGGAACGAAGTGGTACATAACTGGTATCTGCTTTGTTGAGATCTGTTGTTTATTTATCCAATCTTCACATCGAATCAGTTCATCAAATTAGATATTGTGTGTAGTGTGTACTCATTTTCCTATTGGGTATTTCGAAACTGAATGGATGGAGTGATCATACCTACTATCGCTCAAGTTTCATCATTTTTAGATCGTAATATTGATATTATGTCTCTTTGACACGTTCCATTTTTTAACAAGCAGATAGTATAATCTGGTTTTGCCTGGAGGAAGCATTTTAAGAACCGAAGTGTAGTCTACAATGGCAGATGCCAGCCCTAGAACAGAAACATCGACAGATGATACTGACGACAATCACGGGGTAAGTCTGGTTGATCTTGGTCCGGGGTGTTCAACGTAAATACTATTTTCTGGCTATGTGATGTGACCCAATAATATTTCTAAAGTATTGTTTGAATCATCATTAGTGTTTACAATATGACACCAAACATCACTTTCAGTTCAAAACCATATATGTACCAATGCTTACATGTAGTTATGCAAGATGGGCAAAACATACAATGGACATATATGTTTTCTTATAAGATAGTTCTATAGCTTGTTGTTCCTTCAATTATCCGTAAAGATGGAGGATGACGTGTGTGTACTGACAGTGGTCTATGCTAGGAAGTAGGAAGTACTCCTTCCGTTCCAAATTATAAGTCGCTTTGACTTTTTTGGTACATCCATTTTGCTATGTATCTAGATATAATAATATGTCTAGATACACAGCAAAATGGATGAACCAAAAAAGTCAAAGCGACTTATAATTTGGAATGGAGGGAGTACCAGTTACATTTAGTTTCTTATTAAAAATCTGTGTTGCGGAATTGCTCTTGCAACACAGGGTACATGTAAATCGCATCAGGAGTTCAGGGCTCTTGAGTAAATCTCTAGAATAAAATTTTGGGACTTAATACTCCCATAGCACTGTGTAGTGTATGGACAAGTAACATAATCCACAAAATTAGGGAGTTCTGAAACTGAAACAACATCATGAACAGTTGGATTTGTATATAGCTGGCAAAGTTCCATGTCACTATTAAGTATTAAATTTGGTCAGTAAAGAGCATAATTTTTTTCTTTATAAATGAAATGACAGCTTTCCTGCTCCGTTTGAGAAAAAAAATCATAATTTCTTGATTTGGGCCTTAAAACTCTGACCTTTTTTTTTAAAAAAAAATTCCCAACCTTTTCCCCTTAAGCTTTTCATTCTTTCCAGTAGCTTGTCATTTTAAGCTGGTTGCATTATATGTGCATTTACAGTTTTATACACTAACAGAGACAGTGAATTCTGAATTTACCTCCAACATAGGCGTCTGATTAGTTGATTTGGTAGTAGTTGATGCATGCAAACACTATCAAAAGGCAGCCAAGGAACCTTTGTATGGGATGCAAAATCTAACATTGTGGTATTTCCAAGCATAGTTGACGGGAGGGGAGCTAAAAGCTTTTGTTTTAAAGAGAAAATTGGTGTGATGGATAAACATTACCAGGCGTTGACTACTTGTGCTTTAAAAAGAAGTATGGGAAATACTTGTGATTTTTAAGTAAAACCTTGGAAAGAGGGGAAAAATCTGTGATGTACAGATATTAATGAATGAATCATGGGAGCTTGATGATTACACTTTCATTGGCAGCTTGAACCAGGCCCAGGTGCTCTTGGTGTTGCTTCTGACTCCAGTGACAGATCCAAGGACAAACATGGAGATCAAAAGGTGCATGTTTTGAAGTAGCACTCTTGTTTTCATTTCATGTTTCTGCTGTTTCTTTTCCTTATAATTTATTTTGTAGACACTGCGTCGTCTTGCTCAAAATCGTGAGGCTGCAAGGAAGAGCCGATTAAGGAAGAAGGTGTGTGGATTTAGTTTTTACATCTTTGTACTTAAAAATAAAGCAGTGCTTGCTTGGATGTTTGTTTTTAGTAGTCTTAAAGCAGTGCTTTTATGTTTCTATAGACCTCTACTTGTTATAGCAGTGCTTTTATGTTCAGGAATAAGGTTTTCTTTTCTTCATGACTTGTTGCTGGTATCATTGTACACAAAAGTATATTGCATTTTTTTGTTGTTGTTTGTATAAGTGCTTTGCATTGAAAGCTGTGCTTGATAAAGGCTGGAATGTAAATCCAGCAAAAGGGAAGTGTAAAAGCTGCTATCAGTTTACTTCCATATGGAGCTTTAGTTGAGTTCAATGGAAGTTACTGTTACTCTAATAAGCATTAGAATTTTAGTTTTGGGAAACTTTGACTCTTCCATTTTCATTTTCAGTTTTCAGAGCTGACTTTTTCCTCTGGGGTTTGCTCTAGCGGCCCTTTATATGAGAAGTTCTTGAATCTTACAGCATGACTAGTAACTTGTAACTAGGGACAAATTCATCTCTTAGCACAATTAGTCTATTACTTATTATCCATAATATCTCTTTATGCACCTTGCCATCCTAGTAATGGATGTATTCTGTTTGTGAAGATCCAGCCTTTATGGGGGAACTCTTGGGTTTGCACAATAGTCATAATTCAATATGATATTCAGCAGCTGGCGGCTGCACCAGCATAAGCTGATGGAGCCATCTAGAATAAACTTCTATCTCAATAGAGGTTTTATTCATTCATTACTTGTGATGAATATTATTTGCTTTCTTTGATCGTACACCACGTGGTCTCAATCAATAGTACGAACTCACTGCAAGTTCTGTTGTATCGTTAGATCAGGTTCATATGCTCACATGCTTGTTAGCTCAAACTTGAATAATGAGAATCCGATCAAGCGAACTAAGTAATACAAATCAGTGCTGACTTACCCTTGTCATTATTAGCTACTTTTGTTTTAAGATTTCTGTAAGAGGATTGCACAAGCAAGTGGCAAGTACCCCTTTCCAATTTCTGACGTGGATTGCTAATGGACATTGCTGTGGTATTGATGGGTAATTTTGCTATTCCTATAGGCATATGTTCAACAGTTGGAGAATAGCAGACTAAAACTTACCCAACTAGAGCAAGAGTTGCAACGAGCTCGTCAGCAGGTTACTCCTATGGCATGTCACATTTTACAGCCCTGTGTCCTATTGACTAAATTGAAGTTTGCTTAAGATATTATCTCTCACAGGGCATTTTTATATCTAGTTCAGTTGATCAGTCACACTCCATGAGTGGAAATGGTAATTATTACTTCACATGCATAATGTTTGCTTGCTCATTACCATAGAAGCACTCAGGCAGTGATTCCTGCTTTTTTATGGCGGATATGTGTTTTCGTACAGGGGCATTGGCCTTTGATATGGAGTATGCGAGGTGGTTGGAAGAGCACAATCGGCAAATTAGTGAGCTAAGGGCTGGTGTCAGTGCTCATGCAAGTGATACTGATCTCCGCAGTGTTGTTGATAAGATCATGTCACACTATGATGAGATTTTCAGGCTCAAAGGAAATGCAGCCAAGGCAGATGTCTTTCACGTCTTATCAGGCATGTGGAAGACACCAGCAGAGAGGTGTTTCTTGTGGCTAGGAGGTTTCCGACCATCTGAGGTTTTAAAGGTGTGCAATGTACTAGCCTTACAATGTGTTTATTATCTTTTGGGCCCTCCTAGAGTAGAAACACGCTTTTTATGAATACATGGAATTTGTTCTCTTTTCAAGCACTGGTGATTTCATTGTTTGGGTCACTGATAAAATATATGCAAACTGCAGCTTATTTCGACACAACTTCAACCTCTCACCGAGCAGCAGCTATCAGGGATAGGCAACCTTCAGCAATCTTCACAGCAGGCTGAGGATGCTCTTTCACAAGGAATGGAGGCCCTTCAGCAATCCTTGGCTGAAACCTTGGCTGGGTCTCTTTCGTCTTCTGGATCAACAGGAAATGTGGCAAACTACATGGGTCAAATGGCCATGGCCATGGGAAAGCTCGGAACGCTTGAGAATTTCCTTCGTCAGGTATTAACCCTCTTTTCCAAATGCCTTAACAGAATGCACATCTCACTTTCCAAGGACAACTCTTTTAAGTTTGACCAGACACATACAAAAAGTAGTAATATTATGATGCGTAATAAGTGTCATTAGATTAATTGTGGAATATATTTTATAATAAATTTATTTGGGCCTACAAGTGTTGATACTATCTTCTATAAACCTAGTCAAACTTAAAAAGGTTTGATTCTCGAGAAGTGAGATATGCATTCTTTTGGGGATGGAGGGACTAGAGAAGTAGAGAGCATGTGAATATGGTGCCTAAATCCTGCTACTTTTCTTTGCTGTATGTATCAAGGCTGATAACCTGCGGCTGCAGACCCTACAACAGATGCAAAGGATCCTGACCACTAGACAGTCAGCTCGGGCGCTGCTTGTGATAAGTGATTACTCTTCACGTCTCCGTGCCCTAAGCTCTCTCTGGCTTGCTCGGCCGAAGGAATAGCAAGAACATGCAATTTGACTGCAATACTTTTTCACAATTTGGTTTTGAATGGTTATCTTATCATCAGGAGATTTGACAGGGCTGCGACAGACTTGATTTGGACATATCTGCACATACTGTAATCCAAATGGAAGGGGATGTTGATGTAGCTTAGGCTGCCTAGCCATGTAGTTAAGTGTTCAGTTCATGGTTCATGATGTATTATTACCAACTACTGTAAAATTCTCACTCTGTATGCCCAGCGAATCATTAGAATGCACATTGATGTTGATCAGTCGATTTTTGTTCACTCTGTAGGAACACTAGCATGAATATAATGCTTTGCCAGTAACATCTAACCAGGTATATTGGCTGATCCACCGCATTAAAAATTTGAGCGTATAATTGCCAGGAGGCGAGCAGTATTGCGGGCATCATCAAGGCCGCAGTGAGCACGTCCCTCCCATGTAAGGCCAGCCTCCTTCAGGTTGCAGCAGGTAACCTTCAAGTTGACCCACCTGATCAAAATTTGTTCAAAGGAGACTTTTAAAATTAGAATAATAATCAAGACACCTTCAGATTCAGATCATAGCCTCACGTGTCTCACTCATAATGAGTTCAAAAGTTTGATTAGCTCTAATAATCCATGAGACGGCACAATGGCGGTAAACAAGTTAATAATCACCTTTAGCGTGAAAGCTCCAGATTGTTTAGCTCTAACTGATATGTTTGTTCTATAAAACAAGTAGACATAAAATAACAAGCAAAAGAATATCCAATTGACAATCCAGATCAAATAATACCATTACTAATATGTAGTCTCGCACTACTTTATATCACACCGAGTTAAATTATCAGCATATTTCATTATTTAGTTATAGCAGAAAAAAAGAATGCATGAAGAATCCTGACATTTCTTGAAAAAGGATCATGATATTATCATGACTTCATGAGAAATCATTTCCTGTAAAAATACCAAGGACTGTCCTGAAAAGTTCAGCATAATAACTTCTGATCCTATTTTTTTTTTAAACTTCTGATCCATTTTTTCTTCCTAGAATTAGTATAGTTGTCACACGTCCGACTAGAGGCCCCCAAGCGGGCTAAGAGAGGCCCCCAAGGTCTGGGCCAAGGTGCTCGGTAGCGCGGGGTACTGTTCACGTGCGCCTGCCAACAGGGGAAATCTAAATTAAGTGAGAAAATAGGCAAAAAGAAGGAAAAGTAGAATTTATTTAGGAAATAAGACTGAATAAGATCGGTTTGCTAGGAAAAGAGAAGTCCAAAGCTGTAAAGACTCCTTCTATATTTACTTGGATACAGGTCCTCTTAGAAACTATATAGGGGCCTGTAATCGTCCTAATCTTAAGTAAGAAATAGAGCCCTCCCTCCCTCCCTCCCGCCCGCGTCACCTCATTGTTTAAAATTGAATCTGTCTAGTCAACAACTGGTTGTTTTAGCGCTCGCAATAAATGTTAGGATCATAAACCCGGGGTCCCTCATGGACCTGCTTCCCAGCAAAAACTCGGCCCAGCAGACGACGTTGCGAACGACGCGCAACTCCTGGGCCGGCCCAAAAACCTAACGACAGGCCAGGGGCGATCCAATCTCTGACCGGAAGGCCTGGCCAAGGAGGACCAACGCTCGCCTCCGACTCCGGCCCGCCTCTTTGACTGGAAGGCCTGGCCAGCTCGCCTCCGACTCCGGCGCTCGCTTCCGACTCCAGCTCGCCTCTCCGACCGGAAGGCCTGGCCAAGGAGGAACGACGCTCGCTTCCGTCGGCTCCGACTCCGGCCCGCCTCTCTGACCGGAAGGCCTGGCCGAGAAGGGACGACGCTCGCTTCCGACTCCGGCTCGCCTCTCCAACTGTAAGGCCTGGCCAGCTCGCCTCCAACTCCAACGCTCGCTTCCGACTCCAGCCCGCCTCTCCGACTGGAAGGCCTGGCCAAGGAGGAACGGCGCTCGCTTCCGACTCTGACTCGCTTCTCCGACCAGGAGTACACCAAACCTCTGCTTACAGCTCTTCTCTGACCGGCCAGAGCCGACTGGGGAACGACCGACCGGGGACGCCCGCTCGGTGAAGACCCAGGAAACGGACAGAGCAAGTAAAGCGGGGCGCTCCAATCAACAGCAATACCAAGGACCGTACCCTGCACACCTGCAGGACAGTACTGTCAGGCCGTGTCAGAAGGATGCTCCGCAACCTTCCAGATGCGTCAGAACATGAATAGTGTTGGGCGCCGACATTTATCCTATAGTATGGTAGGCGCTGACATTTGCCATACCAGAAGATCACAGTGGAACCAACCACATGCAACCAGCCATCAACAGTATTGTAGGCGCCGATAAACCACCTTGTACCCAACGGCGTGGGCAACAAGAGTAGGTAGCACACACACTCTCTTTCTCTCACACTCTCTCTCTCTTGTAAAGCCGTCCCCTTCATCTATAAAAGGGGATACACTCTCTCCAAAACGACAACGATCGATTGACATAGACAATTCGAACGACCAATGATTCAGACAACTGATTCCGATTCTCTCTGCTTGGCTCTAGACCTCTAAAGCCAGACAGAGCGTACGTTCAAACACTTAGTGCACGTCAGAGCTCGCGTCACTCTTGGCCCTTTGGTCTAGAGTCCGACCGGACCTCTGATACCCCCATCTTACTCCCTCTCGTTTGTAACCCCACAGCAAACTTTGAGCACCTGGACTCAGGAATAAAGTCTCCGATCGACTCAGACTGGACGTAGGGCACGTTGCCTGAACCAGTATAAACCCTGTGTCATTGAGTGCTAGGCCACATCCGATCACAACGTATGACAAAACTACAAATATTTATGTGTTGGTCACTTTTCGCACCGACAGTTGGCGCCGTCCGTGGGGATAGACGCCTTACGTTCACGCTTTTGGTCATCGGATGGCCCCACCTTTCCGCCACCTTCACCATGGCGGGCTCAAGCGATACGACTCACTTCGGCTCGCTGGAGTTTCCCGTGCTCCCACCTGTTGGGATGCGGGTTCCTCCCGTCTTTGAGCCAGCCCAGACCTTCCTCTTCGGAAGCCTGGACTTCGTCGCCGACCGGTTCGGCGTGCTTCACCTCCGCGAGGAGGCACTTGTCCCGGCGCCCATCGGAGGAGGAGCGCCCTCTGTCGACGTCGGGCCATCGGGCGACCTCAACGACAAGACGCCTGCGCTTCGCTCCGAGCCCACGATGGGCTCAAACCCCATTGTGAGTAATGTACATACTGTTCTTTACTCGCTTTTTCATATTTTCCGCCGACTCTCCGGAGTGACCCCGTTGTCCCTGTCGCGACCGCCATGCGATCGGTTCCCCTATGGCCTCGTGTCCCCCGTGGACGCGTACACACGGGGGCTCCGAAAGATGCTGGCGCTGCCCCCTCTCACATTCGAATTTGTGGGGATGGCGGGCTACGCTCCCGCCTCTTTTCATGACCTCATGGATGACGATATTGAGAGTGATGGCTCCAGCATCGGCGACGTCGTGGCACCTAGCCACTCTCTGTCCCGGGAGTACGCTATGGCAAACGCTCTGGGACAGCCGCCAGTGGTGGTGGAGTCTCTACAGACCCACACCCCTCTGGACCCTGTCGCACGGAGGCCCACGCATGTGTGCAGGAGCACGGCGAGGAGCTACGATAAAGGCGGCAGAACCAGCCGCCACCTGCGCCGGTGCGCTCGGCGCAGCACGCTGCGCCCCGTGCGCGTGACCCGGTGAGCGGTGCCTGGGGTCACGCCCGCCAGGTCCAGCGCAACATCCTGGACGGGGGGGGGGGACGATCCCCCACAGTTCGCTCGGGCTGGCCAGAACATCACCGCTACGGCGATGCTCCTGCACGGCCTTCTAGAGCCGGTCGACTCCCAGGAGTAGGTGGTCCACCGGAACCTCCTAGCGCCGGTGGAACCCGCTGCCGTTCAACAGGTGGAGAGCTCCGCGTCGCGACACCGACTCGTGGCCTCTCTCCCCACCGGGGGAGTGGGGACGCACCAGATGAATCGCTCCATCCGCTAACCGCTACAGCCGCTGGGCACGGAGCAGGAGGCCATAGCTACGCCACAACCTGACCCAGCGCCTGCTCCACACCGGTTGCCTATGCGTGAATGCCTCGGGCCGAACCGAGACGCTCGCAATGTCATCAGCAACCGGCGTCAGGCCCGGCATGACGATGACGTCCATCGGGCAGCGGTGAGAGCAGGCAGCATGGGCTCTGGCTAGACCATCGAGGGGACCGGTGAGACGCACCCCAGGCATGGTCGTCGGTCGGACAACCGAAGTCCCAGCCCGGACGACCCAAGACCACGGGCCTTTGGCCGTCGCATCTAGAGAGCGTCGTTCCCACAGTGCTTCCGACCGCCTACCAACATCGCCAAATATACCAGGGAGACGAATCCCGGTATATGGCTTGAAGACTTTCGGCTCACCTGCCGAGCCGGAGGAGTGGATGATGACCACTTCATGATTCAGTACCTCCCCATCTGCGTGGGGGAACATGTTCGAGCGTGGCTCGAATTCATCCCGCATGACAGCATTCGCGACTGGGCGGACCTCAAGAGGATCTTTGTCGGGAATTTCTAGGGGACGTATGTCCGCCCGGGGAACTCCTAGGACCTCAAGAGCTGCCAGAAGGAGCCCAACGAGTCCCTGCGGGATTACAACCGTAGGTTCTCCAAACGATGCAACTCCCTCCCTAATGTCGTCGACATGGACGTCATCAGCGCGTTCCTCTCCGGAACAACCTGTGAGTCTTCGATTCACAAGCTTGGTTGTCTGAAGCCCCGAACCACGTGCGACCTGCTCGATGTCACCATGAACACGCCGCCGGCAAGGAGGCGGTCGGAGCGGTTTTCAACGGAGGCCGAGACAAGGGCAAGGCCAAGCGCGAGGATCAAGACGAGGGCCCCTCCACACAGAGGGGGGAAAAGAACAAGAAGGATCGGTGCCGACTGGCCAACTCTGCGTTGGTCGCCGTGGCCGATCACGCGGGCAAGCAGCCCCAGCAGGG